AGGGACAATACAGGCCTGGGGGCAGCAGGAGCCGGCCCGGCCTGGCGGTTCTTGCTCTGGGCCGGGCCGGGCCCCAGGGAGCCCCGTGTTTGGGGAGCAGGCGGGAGCCGAGCCACACGCAGACTTGGCAAAGCGCCGGGGGGGGGGGTTAGAACATCAGAACGGCCAGACTGGGTCAGACCAAACGTCCATCCGGCCCAGCGTCCGGTCTACTGACAGTGGCCAGTGCCCCAGCGGGGATGAACAGAACAGGGACTCATCCAATGATCCATCCCCCGTCGCCCATTTCCAGCTTCTGGCAAACAGAGGCCAGGGCCACCGTCCCTGCCCAGCCTGGCTAAAAGTTCATGGACGATAGGTCCATCAATGGCTAACCTAGCTCTTTTTTGAACCCTGTTAGGGTCTTGGCCTTCCCAACATCCTCAGGCAAGGAGTTCCACAGGTTGACTGTGCATTGTGTGAAGAAATACTTTCATTTTAAACCTAAAATGGGGACACCCAGGTGCTCCCCAACAGCACCTAGTGCTGCACCACCCCCCCCAGGCCTGGGGACAGAGAGCCCCCCTCCCAAGGAACACAGCAGGTTAGCCCTGGCCGAAGGATTTTGGAAGATCTGACCATCCAACCACCAGTGGAAATGGTACTGCTCTCTTCTTCAGGGACCAGACCCAGGGCATACCATTAGCAATACACACACATCCACCTCCTTCCACTAAACACAAAGGCACATGAGCCTAGCCCCAACAGAGTGAGAAAACATTTGCAATCACTGATGAGAAAAAGGACGGTGCCTGCAATTAACTATATCACAAATTAATTAGTAACAGGGCAGGAAGGCAGAAGGCTGCTTAACGAAACTCCAGGGGTGGTGCAGATCCAGCCCTGACTGCTATGGCATGATAGTTATGGTGATCAAGTAGCCACAGCCTACCTCAGCAGGCAGAACATCACCAGAGAAGCCAAGGACTGAAGACTCTTCTCTGGGGCTAAGGTAGCTAGTCTGGGAAGTTTATACCACTGCTGCCTGGACTCTGGCTGGAGGGAGGAGGGCTGTTGCCACTAAACAAAAAGCCACTCAGGTATTTTTTGTAAGCTTGCTAAAACCCACCCTTTTAAACAATGTAAGTCTCTCTCCAAGGCTGATGGGCAGGGTGGCAACAGCCCTGGGTGTATTGTTAAAGAAGCCTGCTAAATGCAAACTGGGACAAGGTGCCTGTAGATAAGGGTTAATATTAACCAAGTTCTCTCTTTCCCTCACCTCCACTCTTCTCCCCACAACCACACAGGCCAGAAGATAAAGAGAATGGATAAAAGCACAAATTACATCTTCCTCTTATGAACTGTAGCAGTGAGGCTCCAACTGAGGCCAGGGTACTAGGTACTTTCCAAACACAATGCATGAAACCGTTCCTGCCCAGCCAGGTATATAATCTAAACTGGGGGGAGAGGCACAGAGGGGCTTGCCCAGGTCACAGAACTGAGACTAGACCCTAGGTCTCCAGGATCAAAGGGCAATCCCATACCACTTATACAGCACAGCTTCTCAACCACGTGAGAAAAATGTCAGCCAGCTCTAAGCACCTACAACTGAAGAATCCAACCTGCTGCAGCCGGCCCCAAGCAGTGGAGTTATGGGGGTCAGAAATTAGCGGATTTTTTAAATCTTAAGGCAGTACTGCGAACTGGGCAGGCAGTGACGGTGCCAGCGAGCTCTGTGCTCATCTGCACTAATCATTCGCATTCCACAGAACGTTTACCTTCATTATGGTGAAGTAGCCGGGTGCAGACTCTTTCCCCTTCATGGAAGCCCTAGTTCTAGGAGAATTTAGAATGACAAACTCCAGGAGCTGCGAGATAGCTGGGTTCAGGGCACACCCTGGGTCAGAATTCCTCTATGCAGAGGAAGTGGGATTCTTATTTATTCAGCCACTAGGCCAGGAGTCCTTGGGTAGCACCCAGCTCTGAGAAGTTTCCAAAGCGGAATTTTCAGAAAGGGGAGAACGTGACTAGTTTCAATACCACTGTTGCTTCCACTCAGCCCTGCCACCTCTGGGCTCTGCAGAGAAGCTCCCCTACAGATGTAGGTAGCTGAGCCTGGCCTGACCGTGCTCGGGTGAAGGTCTGGCCAGGCCAAGCCCCTGTTATGTCACAAAAACAGGCAGGGGCAACATTTGCTAATGAGACCGTCCAGCCCAGCCAGTAGCAAGTTGCAGGTCAGGTGCCTGTTCCATTGGCATCCTCTGCCTTGCAGATCGCTTGATTGCAAACTTCGGGGCTGCTGAAGCCTTGGGTTTGGCCCTCGTTCCTTCCTAGCTGAGAATCTCAATGCACCTCAGGCCCAGAACACTGAGAGAGGGAAAAAGCCCCCAGTAGAGAAATGGGGAAACTGAGGCACAGAGCTCTAAAGCCACCCTTTTTCAAATGTCTAGAGCCACCCCCCATTTTCAGAAGGGCTGAGCTGCTGCGTCTCCCATTGAAATCCATGGAGTTGGGGGCACTCCGCACCTCTGAGAAAAATCCCATCCAAGGCCTCTCAGGCCAGGCACTCCAAATCCGAGGTGGCGGCTGCCTTTCTGACACTCGCTGAGGAGCTGCACAGAACCGGACATGATACTTGGCACTTAGCTAGCGAGCTACAAGGAAACAGCTCAGAGCGCCTCAGGAAAGGCAGGTCTGGCTCACCCCATTTTACAGATGTGGACTGAAAACCCAGGCAGGTGAAATGATCTCTCCATCCAGCTATTGTTTCCGCTGGGAGATGAGAGCGCAGGGATTCCCCAACCTGGCCAGCAGCTCCTCAGGCAGCGCCACACGGTAAGAATCCGAAGCACAACAGAGCATTGGGATTATTATTTTAATAGTGAGGTTTAAAGAATTGCATGTAGGAGAGACAGGAAGAAGCATACAAAATTAGACCAGAATCTGAGCTACAGTACACGTCCCTCCAAGGGAGAAGTCAAACCTTTAGAGATGGCTACAGTCTTGCAGCAAAATGTAACCCCAAAAAAATCATACAATAAATTATAAAAATCCAGCTAATGTGCAGACTCCACGCACAGGTCAGGTCTGGTACATGTATACAATGGGCCATCGAATGCTTGAGCTCTTCCAGGCTGAGGAGCAGCTGCAGGGGGAGAGACTCAAGAAACTGGAACCCTTCAGTGGCGCCGCAGTCAAGAGGAAGTGGGGATTTAAACTAGGAGCAAACAGGTGGAAGGAAAAACAAATCGCAGTGGTGGGAATATGCAGGCGGAATTGCTTCAGTCCGCAAAGCACAAGGAGAGGAGTCCGAAATGCTTTGGACACAGGTAAGGCACCGGAAGCATGAACGGAGAATGTGTTTCCATTGACTGGTCTCTCGCTGAAGACCCACCGAGCCTCTCCATTCTGCAGCCCTTCGGAGCTGCTCCAGGTGCAATGCAAGACTACGAAAAACAGGACTGTTAGGAACTCTGTTTCCAGCTATCCCTATGATCCCAAAGAGGGCCCAACACAGCCTTGCTAGCTGGAGCATCCAAACTGCTCGCTCGCCTCTTGGGGGCTGGACACACCACCTCGTTGGTGCAGTGTCTAGTGCTACAAAAAGCCCAGGCTCAAGGGCCCCATTTCAAGCAGTCAGGAAAAAGAAAAAAAAAAATCAAGCAAACCCCACGCTATGTGAAAAGCTTCGGTCTAGTTCTTTCTTCTCACTAGTCCTATGGTGTGAAGGTGGTCAGGCTAGTCGAGGAAGCCTCACATTGGCATACAGTGGTATCTTCTTGTTCTTCCTTCTGCCCCTCTTCCCCACCCAAACAATTCCACGCCTCCTTTAAGGGCTCCCAGTGATCTACCATTAGCAGCATCCTTTGATGAGTCACGCACCAGTCTGGCAGAACCATCTTGGATACTCCCCGAATTGCTGGTTCAGCCTGCGGTTCCCCACTGACCGATAAACGGCCAAGGCGTACAGACAGCACAGCAGTGAGATGAAGGAAACGCTAACAGGTCTCCGATGAGCAATGGAAGTCCCACAAAACACATACAAGACAACATTCGAAACACCTAACAGCAAAGTGCTTTGGCCCAAAAGTTGTGATTTGAACAGATGTGCATCTTTATTATTTTTATTTAAATGCAATTTCAAGCTTATTGGTTTTTATTTTTTCCTTTTAAAAGAACCCCTCTGCTTCCAAAACAAGACTTACAGGAAGCGAACATTACAGGGAAAGACTTTTTTTTCCTTTTTTAAAATTTATTTAAACAAAAATGCACAGTGCATTAACTTCTCTTCCAACCAGCTAAGCTGGGCAGATATTTTTCCTCCAGAAAAACAAACAAAAAAAACCCAATTTCCTGTAACTGGGCAGTGGTCCTCAACATGAGTGCTGCCTAGTTCGAACGTAAAAAGGAAACATTTCCATCATCATAGAAAAAGAGCAGTTTAAAGGTGAGGATTTTAGTATACTTGCAACAAGCCCACCTTAATCCTATATTACAAGCTTTTTACAACATACAAAATAGATCAGTAACTATGATTAATGTAACCCCTCCCTGTTAGAGAGTAAATATACAGAATCATCATCAATCTGGTACCAACAGGAGGACAGAAGTAGTGTATAAGGCAAAACAACAGCTAGGTACTGGATTATTATTAGAAACCCTTCCATGGAATATGAACAGTCATTAGCTAGTTTGGCCAAACGAGGCAATTCCCCCCATGAGAAAGAGAGAGAGTGTTTTCATGCTACCATGCGACCCGCAGTCAGAACACAAGGATCCTGATCTCCCCCCTCCACAGATTAAAACCTATTTAGCAGGGTTTCCATATTTTTTGTTTATTAACATTACAACCATTATGGTCTTCCTGTTAAAATTATAAATTTGGTCATTTAGCATTAAAATCAGAGCACCCAGCAGGGCACGAAGGGCCGTGCCACCCGTCGGGAAGGGAGGCAGCGTTTTGCAGGAACCCATCAGTGTGATGAAGCTGACCGCTCCCAAAGCGGCAAGCTCCCCCACCACGGGCCGCCAGCTACCATCCGTCTCCGAACCAGGGGGGCGAGCTGGAGACGCCTGCAGCTGCTGTTACCAGGTTAAAAAACCAGGAATGATTAGTCTTGTCAAGGGAAATCTAGCAGTGCCCTATTTGTTCTAACGATGCACTCTGAGGAAGGGCCATGCAGCCATGGACAGCATCCCCAGACAGAACATGGCCCACAAACAACCTGCATGTTACAGCCACGGGTCAGTCCCCACTGGAATGGCTGTTAGAGTGTGCCCTGGGCTAGCATTTGCTCCACCCAGTGGGGCCATGTTCCTGATCCATGGGGGGAAATGGCAGTTGTGGTGTCTGGGTAAATAACCACGTTGGTTTAAACTCTTCCTGCACCTTGTTGCTTTAGCTGAACGGATCAGTACATAGTGTTCACAGCCAATAGTGTTCTAGACATTTCACTTTTTAAAAACTCACCCCTTTCCCTGCCCTCCCTTCTCCAAGTCTGACCCCCCACCCCACATGCCCCTCACCCCTGCCCTAGCACGGAGCACCGGGGGTACTGGCCGCACCACGCTGGTTCTGGCCCCAAAGCCATCACACGCTGGCTTGCTTGGCTTGGAGTTCGTCCTACGTTATATTAACTTTGTGGACCAGGAGAGTCTTTTTGCACAGATCTGCACGGTGGCGCAGGAAGCCTCTTTCTGGCGCGGCCCGCGGATCTGCAGCTATGAAGTGGAGGAAGGGACTCACCCAGGTAAGTCCAGGTATGAAATGCATAGATGGAGGTGAGAGGGGATTCATCCGGGTTTGTTTGTTCCTTGCACCAGTGGAAAAACAAAACGAGACACTGGGAGCTTCTCATGCAGGTTCCTAGGGGCAGGGGGGGGAAGTCCGTTCAAGGAAAGGAGAGAAGGTCCGTCTCCTTGCCAAGGAACAACCAGGCAATGCATCTGGCCTTCACCTGGGGATGGGAGGCAGGGGCGGGGCCCCCCGCGTCGCTGCAAGGCAAGGAAGCCGGGTTAGTTACGCTGCAGCAGGATGCCCAAAGGTTTTCTGGCCAAGTCACTCAGTTCAAAAGTCTCCTCACCAGCTGCCGTTTCAAGTATCGTTCCCCGGACGCCTGCCGCGTCTGTGCGCTCATGGGCCACTTCCCCCAGGTGCCTGGGATCCGTGTCCAGCGACCACAGACCCAGCCATCACTGGCGTACGGGCTCGTTATCATCCCAGCTCCAGCACTGCCCCGGGGGCTCCAGCTTCCACTGGGGCCTGTGCAGGCCCCACCACCCAGGGGATGCAAAGAGCTGCCCTCCCCCGAACGAGCCATGGTGGAGCCCAGCGTTTTGCTGGAGTGGGTAGGATCAGGACTGTATCTCCAGCCAGTGCCTGTCAGCAGCAGGCTCCCGGGGAGCTCAGGTGGGGAGGCCGGAGCCCTGGAAGCTCCGCACTGACGGAGGCAGGTCTCTGGGGAGCGCTATTAGAAGGGACAATATTGCCACAGGCCAAGAGCTTAAGCAAGGCACCTTTGGGGTTAGACCCCAGGCGTGAACAGGTCGGGGCAGAGACCCGTCACACGGGCGTGGAGAAGCCTCGAAAGGTAAAAGCCCAGAGCTCGCTGCGCAGACAGCCGGTGGAAAGCAATGATCAGCACTCGCTGTAGCCCTCCCACTCTGAAGCGATACATGCCGCCCAGGTGGCTTAGTGGAGCAGGCGCTGGGGCATCCTCCACCGACCAGGTGCAGATATTTTAGCGGCAAGACGCGTCGGCTAGGTCGTTCACCTACCTCGGTTCGTTTTGCTGGGGTAAGTTCTCTGGAAGTGTTTATACTCCTCGGGAGCGGGAAAGTCTTCCACTGGATGAAAGGAATATTTGGACTCAAAGTCATCTGGGAAGAAGGGAAAAGGGTGAACTAACTAAGGCAGCTTAAGAGAGGAAATGGAAATGCTCAACTTGCACCCCGAGTTCTCAGCGCTCCCCATCGGAGCCAGTGACGCAGAAGCGCTCTGCTGCTGGGGGGAGCACGGAGAGTCTCTCCCCACCCGCTGGAGCTGCTGGGCATGTTGGAGATCCGGCCGTGCGTGTGTGTGCAGCTGGGGGTGGAGATACCCCGTCCTGGTTGTGCTCCAGGCTTCACAGGGGGAGCGGAGTCGAACAGAACAGGCTAAGCAAGTCAATATAAATGAACCAGAGGAGAATTTTTCCCTCTCCCGTAAGTTCCCATTTCTCCCCGTGCCATACGGCAAGCCGCTGGCTGACAAAGAATGGCAGCTCCATACACAGGGCTGAATTTCCACCTGGAACATGATCAGCGGGTGTTAATCACGCAGTTAGACACACGATCCCATTGACGGGGGCCCTCCATTCACTGTGCTAGCTGCAAAGCCGCGCTACAAGCATTAGGGAGCGCTGCACGAGTGGAAATCAGGCCTCAGTACCTGCCAATGGGAACACGCTCCCTCCTCACCCTCTGTTCCCAGGGGGCCTGGGCCAGATTCAGACAGGAGCCAGATGGTTCCCGAGGCTCAAATTCCAGTCGAGGAGGGTTAGATTTTCTGAGTTGGGCCCATGACATCAAGCCAGGGGGTGAATCCAGAACCTGATCCCTCCAGCCTTGATGCAATCCGGTACCAGAGCGACACACAGGGAGTTTGCCCAGCCCCAGCATGGCTCATGCCTGGCACGGCCCAAGGCCGGCAGGGTTTCATTCAATAGTTAAGCCCAGTGATTCCTGAAGGTTTCCCACCCCTCTAGCCAGGGAACACAGGGCTTCCCGCCACCCCCTAACGCCTTTACAAGACTCTGACATTCATCCATGTTATCCTCCCTTGTCTCTGAAGGAGCTAGAATTACACCACCACATGGTATCATAAGCCAGGCTGCTAGGGGCTAGAGAGACATGAGGCAATGAATGGCCGGGGGGGGGGGGGGGGGGGGGGGAAGGAGACAGAATTCCCCTCTGAACTAAGGGAGGTGGATAGAAATAGCAGGGCTCCACCCCGGAGAAGGGGGAGGGCGAGGTCAGCCCTGCAATAACACCCTTCGGAAGAAAGCACCTGGCTGTTAAGGGCAGGGAGCACTGCGCTCTGCTCCCAAGAGCCAGCCGCAGCAGAGGCACTGTACCAGAGACAGACCCAGGAGCTGGAGCTGCCGGAGAGTCGTATGCCCACCCACGAAGATTCCTGAACTGCTGCAGCGTCAGCAGGGAGTGGCTCACACCTTGTTTACATAGGACCTACAAGAACAGCAGTTTTCCATGCACCTCCACACCCACCAACGCAGCGTCCGTAGAGGGCCATTCGGAATCTGGACTCATTGCCCAAGCAGGCTCTAGCTGGGGTCTAACATCTACTCACCCAAGAAAGATCTCACAGTGGCAATGGAATCTCGGTGCCCATTTCGCACTGGCGGAGGTGGAGGGGGCGGCCCAGCCGGTGTCCTGGTAGGTGGGGGCGGAGGTTTCCCTCGACTCAGAGGCTCTGATGACCCATGCATTCTGTAGGGGGGCGGGGGCGGGGGAGCGTCACGGCCACCATTCCTCATCAGCGGGGGCGGGGGTGGGGGGGCTGCAATAGAAACCCTGATCAGCACAGATAAGGACATAGGAACGGTCAGACCGATGGCCCGGCTAGCCCAGCAGTCGGTCTCTGATAGCGGACGACACCAGGTGCTCAGAGGGAACGAACAGACCAGCACAGCCATCGAGTGATCCAGCCCGTCGCCCACTCCCAGCTTCCAGCTAACACAGGCCAGGGACATGTGTTCCTGACCGGGCCGGGGAGACATCCTTGTCCATCCGCCCAGTGTGGGCAGGACTGTGCCTCCCACAGCGCTCTCTAGTGAGTCATCCTCCAGCAACGGGGCACGGAGGGGTATCCCACCGCTTGGAGGGTACTGCCCAGCTCTCCAATGGGCAGCCAGAGGGGGGCACAGAACACCAGGCCTAACCCTCCTCCAGCCAGCTGGGGAGCCCATGTTCACGACTGTTTGTTACCATTTCAAAATCCCAGCCCGCAGATCACCTGTCAGGCTCTGGACATTTTTAAAGCCAGTATTTTCAGGGGTCCACCCCACCCCCACCCACCAGCTAAGACTCCAGTCCAGGCCGAGATGCCAGGCTCAAGCGCACCAGGATCAGGGCTCGGTAAGTATCTACTAGAGCCAGTCTGCTGGTTAGCGCCCCAACGAGACATTTTCAGCTCATGTTCCTAATTCCACAGGATAACGCGCCAGCTCTGGAGCTGACACTCAACCGAGGGATTCTAGGGCCAGACGGGGTCAGAGCTGGCAACTAACCGCGGTAGAACTGCAGCCTTGTGGCGCAGCCCAGGACTGTGCAGTCGAAGAGGATGATAAAATACTAGTGCCGTGCTTTCCTGACTCCAGGGGCGGACGCTCGCACGGCCGCGGGGCCAAGTGCGAGGGGGAAGTCGAGGGCATCCGAGAGACAACGCAAAGAGCCTGAAGTCGTGCTCGGAAAGGCCGACGTCAGACCCTGAAGCTCTGACTGTCTCCCAGGCAGCTCCTGCAAACGAGGGCTCTAAAGCAAGGGACGAGTTCCAGGAGCAGGCCGAACCCCCTCGGGATCAGACACACATCGGTGAGCCTGACAAACCAACGCCCCTTACCCGCAGCAGCCTTACCCCCCCCTCCCTTGTCTCTCCTCACACCCTGGGAGCCACGTGGCTACACCATTGCAAACCATCAGGAGCCGTGGCTGCCTGAGGGCCATGCTAGCTCCGGGCGCGCTGGAGGGGCTCTTACCTGCTCCCCTGCTCGGAGGGTCTCGGGCCGGCGGAGGGGGTCGATGACTCTGGAGCGACGGGGAGGCCGAAGAGGGTGGAGGAGGGGCCATGCCCCTCACGGGGCCCGGGGTCTTCCTATGCAAAGAGTTGTGTCTCTGGGGCAGCTCTGGGGCCAGCTCGTTGGTGGGGCTGGAAGGGCCGTTGTGAACGCCGGGAGGCTGCCGATAGGGGGGCGGAGGGGGAGCTAGAGACTGGTTCTGAGAACTTGGCCCCGTTCGGACATTCACTGGGGAAGGGGGAGGCTTGATGGGGGGCGGTGCTGGGGGGCCGTCCCGGCTCGCGGGGAGCCGCTGTCCTGGAGTCGGCGGTAACGGCTTCTCCCGGTTGTAGGAAGGCGCTTTGCTGCCATGCATCGGAGGGGGTGCCGGGGGCGCGTTGGCTCGGCGGCCTGGAGGCGGGGGCGGAGGGGCAGACGAGCTGTGTTTCATGCCGGTACTGCTGGTGCTGTTGGGCCGGGAAAGGTCAGGCAAGGAGGGTCTCTGCATCCGGGGAAGCTCGGGGGGGGAAGCCCGGTTGTTGTCGGAGTCATCGTGAGGTCGGCTGTTGGTCACGGGCACCGGGGGCCTGGGGGCTGCTGATCTGGAGCCAGGAACCTGCAGCGATGGCTTGCTGGAGGAGCTGTCTGCGACGGAGAGAAAGCTGGGTTACTTGCCAAGGGAGGGCAAGGGTCCCAGCCAGGCCTGGAGTTCAGGGAGATCGCTGGGCTCAGCTTGGGGTGAAGGGACACACTGCAGCCATGCGCTCGGCTCACCAGAGCACCAGGACGGGGGAATGGCAAGCGCAGGGATCTCCAGAGGGAGCCGATGGCTCCCATCCCAAGCAGCTTCTGAAGGTTTCTGAAGGCCAGGGTTCCGCACAGAAGAAAGGCCGAGTAACATTCTTCTGTTAACACTTCGTGCCCCTAGGGCCATTCCCGAAGCACGAGAAGCCTCATCCCACCCCGGGAAATAAACTATCCTTAATGGGACAGATGGGGAAACTGAGGCACAGAGGGAAGCACTGGCTTGCCCAAAGTCCCAGACAGGATGGCTGTAAAAACTGGGACTATCGCCTGGCCCTTCTGAGACCAGATCAGGTGCCAGAGCCTAGCGAGGGCAGGGTGGGGGGTGGGGAAATCGTATCCTGCATCTTCAAATCAAGCCTCCATCTTGTCCCATTTCAATTAAACTGCGTAAGCGAGGGCAGCTGCTGCGATGGGCAGCCAGGCGACAGAGGGACTGGCACATTGCAACGGGCTGCGATGCGCCCCACACCCCAGCAGCATTTCAGACCTGCGACCCGGCTAAACGCTGGTGACCGGTAAGCAACGGCAGCGAGTTACTTCCTGGGTACCTGAGTTGTCCTTCGCTCCTACGGGTCTGAGCTTAGGGACGCCCCCTTGGAAGAGGCCGCCTTTGGGCTGGAGCATGGCAGAGCTGGAGCCGGAGCCGGAGCCACCACCACCTCCTCCCTTGGGTTCTGAAACGAGAGGGGTCCAAACTCAGCCCCTAACGCAGCCTCCCTCCCAAGGGTCCCCTTGCCTTCTTGCGGCTTCGGGGTCCAGGTCAGGTGCCTCAGAGATTACGCAGCACTAGGCGTGTACACGGGGCACTGGCAGCTCTGCTCTCTCCGTGGAGCTCCGGGACCACTAACTGAACGGTGCCCTGGCTCAGGAACGAGCGCATGTTCACAGAACGAGGACTGTAGGCCTAGGAGTATGGGGCATCAAAAGCTTCGAAGGGAAGGTGTGGGGAGAAACCAACTCGGCCAGTGCGGAGCAGCCATGGGGCTGCCGCAGTGTCCCACGAAGGCAGCAATGCAGGGAGGGGCTGGAATCGCAGCTCGAGGGGGCCAGGGGACTCTGGGGCTAAGCGGCACCGCACGGTGGTTTGGCCCCAAACGCCAGGACACTCACTCTCCAGGACTGGAGCGCTCCGGTCATTGACCTGCGTCACCTTTCTCAGCCTGGGCCCTTTGCAGATATCTTGGAGCAGGGCTCCTCTACCTCGCTGCTCACCTCGGCTCAGCTTCGGGAGCTCGGGGTTTGCCTGGAGACAAGAGGGACGTTACGGAGAGAAAGAAGTCACTACCCTGCTGGTGCAGACGGGCTCGCTGGGAGTCCAATTACAAACCAACCCTCCCTTCCCCCCATTCCAACCCTGACTGCAGCCCCGGCACCACTGCACCGGCCTTTCCGCCAGGAGGCAGCTCTGCTTCACTCCCTCTTCCAGCCGGAGCATCGCGCCCGACCAAACCCAGGCACACGCCGAGTTCTAAAGCAGCTACCAGGCAGGTTCCTCCTTCACCCGCCAAGAGGAGCGTCGCTACAGTCCTCTCCCCCTTGCCCAGACGGAAGTGTCCCCGTCTCCGCCAGGACAAAGGGCATAACAACCACCCCTGAGATTCTTCGCTCTCCCTCTGGGGCTGCTTGAGAGGGAAGGGGGCAGCAGCACACACATCACAGGATCTCAGCCCTCCCCAGCGCACCCTCCGCTGCCCCGCTCCAGTTGGCTTTGGTGGAGGCAGCGCCACTCCCAACTGACAGGTGATGGCAATCGTTAGCCCACCAGCGACTTCACTTCCCCTGTTCCCTCGTCCCATCCCCTGCTTCTGAGCGGCTCCACCTCCCCGCTGCCCCCAAACGCTCCTGGCTCTCCCTGCTGAGCGGCGCCTGCCTCACGCCAGGAGTTCTGTCGTGCCGCGCAGCTGAGCCCTGAGGGGACATCGCAGCGGGGAGTAACCACACAGTGCCGGACCACCTAATTAATAAACACGTCTCCAGCACTCAGCATCCCCACCACACAGCCAGGGAAACTGAGGGCAGGAGTCAGGTGACTTATCCACAGTTACACACAGTCTCTGGAGTCCAGTCCAAGCTGCCGCCAACACCTCCCGCAATGCACCAGGGTGGACTGGCGTATCCAGAGAAAGCGCCCCAGGTAGATGAACCACCCTAGGAGAAGGGAAGTGGAAGGGCAGAGCAGCCAGAGAGAGGGGGCGAGCGGGGCCTCACCTGGTGCAAGGTTGGCAGTGGAGGGGGGCCAGGAGGCGGTGGAGGGGGAGGAGGTATCGGCATCCTTTCCCACTCCTGGCTGGCTCTGTCTGCTTAGTGTCCGCGGAGCGTTTGGTCCCTCATACACCTGTAATTCAGACAGAACCAGTCAGGGACCTGCAGGCCGTTTCAGCAACACAACCCGGCGAGTGCCAGGGCAAGGAGCGGGCCGCACCGTCCGGAACACCCCACGTCAGCAGCCCCGCCCTCCTGAGAGTCCACAACGACACGGAATCCTGGGATTTCAACCGCAGGCGGACCCTGAGCACTTCTCCGCGGACTTGGCTTCAGGAGAGCAACACCGGTGAGTTCGAGCGCCGCCTCCCGGCCAGCTTAAGGGGCGAGATCGGTGGCAAAATTCCTTAAGAGGCAACTAGTTCAATCACATCTGGAAGAGCAGCCAGCGGCAGCTACTATCCCCCAGACCCTGTATCTGGACCCGCTTTTAGGTTCCTAGCGGGGAAGGCTCAGCCCTTGCCCAGGAAGCCCGTGACTGGCGAGAGCTGCAAAGCATCCAGAATTCAATTCCTTTTTAACCCCATCATCTCACTTGAGAAAAGAACAAACCAGCTACCTTGATCCTACCCCCCATCAATCTACACCACTTCCTCCACGGCAGGAGGCTGCTTACGCGGGATTTAACGGGCCCATGACATCCACAGCTCATCAGCATAAATCAAGAGCTAACCCTGCAGAATTCCCAGCCGGGAGCCACAAGCCATAAATGTATCTCTGTCTTTTCTTGTGTAAATCATCATCCAGAACCATTTGAGATGTAAGAGACCTGGAGTCAGCACCCCTGGGTCACAGCAGTGTAGAATCTCTTCTTCCTGAACCGTCCCTGAGAAGGAAGCATTAACGGCCAGATTTTCAAAAAGGCTCAGATCCCACACGAGCGCCAACGCAAAGGGCCAGCTGAGCGCCTGAAAATCTGGCCCAGCGTCTAACAGTGACTCCAAAGGACCCGATGGGAGCGTATTTCACTGCCTGAACTGTTCATACAGAAATCTCCTAATAGCGTCTCTGAGTTCTAGCTTACCTAGCACAGCGACAACCAGCTGCTGTTGGGCCTTTGTATAACCTGGGTATTAACAGCCTGCCCAAGCCAGCCACTGTCACAAATGAAACATTTCCGTGGAGGAAGCAGATAAAGGCACAAGATGGTGAATCACCAGGTGACTGCAAGACACCGATACCTGTCAGAGCCATTAGTCTGACAACATGAAATTACAAAATTCAAACTCTCAAAACAGCAGCGACTAATGGGATTGGAATGTGACGAATGCCAGGACTCACTTGTCAAAGCAGGAGTTACGTGTGCTCCAGGCAAAAATCGAGAGAGGATGAAAACTTTACACAGCAGAACCAAAGAAAGAAAGACACCAGAGTACTCCTAGGCAGAAACCATCCCATATTAAAAGCACATATTGTGTTAACACCTGATAATTCAATCTTTTGCTTTGACGTTTTAAAGCATGTTGATTTCAGACCCCTTGCCCAGATCCCAGCATAAGCGAAACAGGGAGTTTAACAGGCAGTGACATGACACAGCAAGATGGTGCCAGTCCACAACTTTATAATGCAGAAAATAAACCCTGGCCAACCTTTGAGAGCTGGGAAGTGAGCAACAGATGCTGCAATGAGGGCTTGTAATAAGACTTCATTATTCCTACAAGATAAACTATAGAACAATTTACTAGTGAGGCAACCCGTATTGTCTACATAAATCATGTACATTTTGTGATGTTATCAAAGCAGGTTTTCTAAGCTGTGTTCATTTCCTTTCACGCTAATTCACAGAATCCCGTCATTCCCACAGTACCCCTTCCTCCCAAAACCATCAGAGCAAATTAGGGGGGTTCTGGGTCACCATTTACATGTACTGCCTAGTTTAAAGGGACACCAGCAGGCTGAAAGAGAGTCAATTTCAAACACCAGAGTTCAAAATAATGTAAAGGACTTTCCCTGCCCTAAAGCCCACATGCCAATATTTGTGGTTTTACAACCACTGCTCTAAACATTTCCCTCTCTTGGTGCTGTGTGAAAGATCCACACAGACAGCGGGAAAGAGTGAAACTGCCCCTCCACAAACTGCTGTTAAATACATAAATAAACCAAAGAAGAGAGAGAGGAAAAATATTTGTCGCTTTAAGTCTTTCTTTTACAGTGATATTAAGTGGCACTTGAAACATTACTATGAAAAACATTCAGCTAGAAGCGTCTCTTTAAATAACCAGGCTCCTTGTCTGAACACGGCACACCAAGTTAGAGCTGCAATCCAGCTACCCGAGCGCCCTTCCAGACACCAGCTCTGTTCGGGATGAGGTCCTGCTTTTCAACAAAATCTAGACCTCATCTAGAGCTATGACTCATCCCACCGCTTTCCAGACACTAATCCCAGCTCCACGTAAGCTCATAAGCTTGTCTCTTTCACCAACAGAAGTTGGTCCAATAAGACACTACCTCACCCACCTTATCCTCACAACAAAGGAGGAGGCAAGCGAATCGGAGTAAGACATCACATCCACTCAGATGGGAACTCACACAAGAACAGACCTGAAAGAGAACAAATTTCTTGGTAAGAGAAATAACGTCACAGACTTGGCTGGGGTTTGTCTGCGCTGCCTTCACTGCCGTCGGTGTGTCTGACTAGGAGCGCGCTCCGAGCAACATCACATGTGCTCCCATCCTTCCTGTGATGAACTCATGCTTTCGTGTTGACGTTCGCACGGCCTGTTGCCACAGAAGTGACTGTGATGTCACAAGGCCAATACTGTGATTTCATAGCTCGGAGGAGAAGACGAAAATAGTTTGGGGGTAATTAGCTAGCAGTCACAGCTGGGAAACGCACGCCAGGTAAAGGGATTTATGATTCAGTCTGAGGTATTTGAAAGCCGTGCCTAGCACCCAACTTCCTCTTTAAAAAGATCAAAGCCCTGAAGGACTGCTCCCCATCCTCTTGACGTGTGGCCTGTAGGAACAGTCAGATGATTAGAGAGGAGTTCTCAGCTGAGCGGAAATCCAAGTTCAGCAGCTTGCTACAAGTATGGAATCCCCATCGCAGTCCATGCAAAGGAAGGGGTTGCTATCTAGTCCTCTACTTACACAACAGCACTTCCCATAGATCTTGGACATTGCACACACCCATCCTGCCCAGCCGTGCGAGGACGAGCCGTGCTCAGATGCTACGGAAGTGGACACGACTGCAATGGGCCCCCTAGACGAAGAGCTGCTACCACCATTCCACAGAAACGGAGTACAGGACTTGTTCAAGGTCACAAAGCAAGTCACTGGCAAATCCAGGATAGAATCAGGACACTCCTGCTTCAAATCCCTGGGACCTCACTGTGCCTCTGGGATCATTACTCAACCCTCATCGGTCTGACGCGCAATCGTTCAGTGGAACAGAGGGGAAAATCCCCAGAATTAACCTGAGTGACTGTGGGGTTGGTTGGGGAAGGATTCACGCACTGTTCTGATGGATGCACTTTAATCCCTGAATGCTTTACATCGCATGTGCCAGAGCAGAAGTCCCAGTCTACTGAAACAGGCATTCAAATAAAGGGTCTGTCCTAGAAGAAAAAAAGCAGAAAGCGTCTAAGCTAAAGCAGCTCGGAGAGAAAAGGGAGCTAGTTTTCTAACGAACAGGTCACTTCATTTTAAAGTGTGGCCCAATGCACATTATGGATTAACTACTTGGCAAGGTGGGTGAGGTAATATCTCTTATTGGCCCAGCTTCTGTTGGTGGAAGAGAGACGCTTTCGAGCGACACAGCGCACTTCCTCGGGTCTGGGAAAGGTCTCTCTAATATCCTGCAACCAACACGGCTACAACAACACTGCAAACACCTCAGCAAAGCTCAGTTTTAAAATTAAGAGCCCCTGAATTCAACTGAGCTCAAAATACAGCCCCTATTGGAGCATGTTACCTTATACCAAGAGAAACAAGGAGAAAACTCTGAGAAGGAATGCTGGCGTAAGATCGTGGAATCTTTATTAAAAAAACAAAAACAAAACATCTTTTGTTACGTTCAAGAAGACAGTCAAGACAGCTGATGAAAAAGAGAGTTTCTCACAGCAATGTTTACAGCCCCTTAACATTAAGTCTATGCCTTATGGAAAATGCGCCCTTCTGACACAATGCAGTTTGGACAGCTGATTCCCGGCATTTCTTTTGCTTGGTCCTTTATTGACCGGGATTCTTACCGGGAAACCGATCTCAACGTTTAAGGGTTTCATACGCTCAGGCGGTTTAGCCTCTGCTTTGTGGTGGAAGCGATTTGAAAGACCCAAAGCAGGGCAGCATGCAAAAGGCACCGAACACAGACAGGCTCTTTGGATAAACCAGAGGGGGAAAAAAAAAGACATTTGCCATTTAATTTGTCTTTTATACACAAAAATAAAGGAAGCATCTTCTTCCCAGTTTCTTCAGTTGCCACCAACAAAACCTAGAGCTCAGAAGGAGGGAAGTGTTTTCTGGATGGCAAGGCAAGCAGGTCTCCTTTGTAGTCAGAACTCAGCTTGTGTCCCACCCACTAGTTCATCTGCCCAATAAACCCAACTCAGAAGTGGTCTATTTGCAAGCACTTCTATAGGGCGTAAGAACAAGTCTTTTCCCCCACCCTTTTAAAGGATAACTAAACCAAACTTCATGCTCAAAAGCCCATTGGATGTTAGTGACCAACTGTGCTTAGCCTTGGAAAATCTACACCGATCAAACCCATGCTGGAAGTAGTCTACATTTTCTAGACATCTGTGAACTCCAGATGTGCTGTAAAGGGAAATAACTTGTTTTCTACAGAATTCAGTATTGATCCTTTATGATCCACTCACGACTTTTCACTGGAGATGCAGCAGTGCCTTTCACAGGTCAAAGCACGTTTCCTCACCTTTCAAAGGGATTTGGGTACCGTGCCAGATTTCTATTTTATAGTGACAATGCTTCTACAGCTAGTTTGCATTTGCAAACCAAGATGAAGCAAACATTTCATCCTCGGGGAGGGCAGTGGCTTTGAACTGCAGATCAGAGTGGAATTTCCAACCCTTCTGATGGTGGACTGATTGCCAGATGTAGCTACAGTAGCTTTTGGACTATGCGCAAGATTAGAGCGCTTCCATACTTTCCTTCTTCTGCCTCTCGAAAGTATTCCAGATCCTGGACTCACTATTCCCGACCCAACCCTGAAGTGCAGCATTCCCGAGTCTCTGTTTCCAACAAGCACTGAGGCTGCCACATAACTAATTTACTCTGCAAAACATCTCAGAATTTACGGTCAGTCGGGCTTTTAAAAATGTATCATAAATGTTTTAAGAGACCAAGCTGCCATCTCAAGTCGAGGTGGGCCATGTGTCTGAGAAGCTCTGGAGTGCAGACAGACCTGCTTCAGTTTGCAGGACTCAGACACTCCTCATGAATTAACAACCACCCACGGGCACGGACGGTGCATTTTTAACAAACCTGGAACAAATACATCTGATGCCCCAGGGCCAAATTCCAGGGTCCTCACTGGAGCAGGGCCCTGCTTTGCACCTCAGCAGGAGCATCCCTCCTTTGGAGGGCTGCCACGTTGGGCCATCCGTTAACAGCTTTCCAGAAATCTTCATTTTCTTCATTTGGCAAAGGCAACATGTCAGCAGGATCAAGGAATCCTGTCATCACATCAAACTGAAGCAAAGGAAACAGCGATCTGGCAGGCAGGAGGCAGGCACCCCTCCTATAAAAGCTTAGGGGCTTCCCTCCCCCCATTCCACAGAACAACCCCTGAGGTGCAGAGAGGGATGGGGATGCATGTGACGGAAACTAACGAGAGAACTTTTCTTATCTACATTTTTTTTTTAAAATCCTCTACTGATCGTTTGGCCGACAACAGGAAATGGAGGCAGAATCAAGGGCTTTCTGAGGCTTTCGAATGTGACCCCATAAAGGCATTTGGGGAGGGGAAAGGAGGATGCATTCGACTGCACGACCCACACCTCCGCCCAAACAATATGCTGCAAGAGGAAAAAGGACCCCAGCGCCTTATGTTTGATTGTAGTAGCTTATAGTTCAAATAAAAATGACATATCTTTAGCAATTGCTGATGATCTAACATCCCCCTCCTCTAAGAGCTCAAACAGCTGCTTGTAAGTTTCAAATAAATTGAACTCTCACCATTGAAAAGAAAAAAGGGCTGTTGTTTAGTTCATCTCATATAGGACAGGAGAACTGGGGAATTGTCTCAGAGCAGAATTTAGGTGCAATAACAGAATCTACTAGGCAAGGAGACTGTCTAATGAAATTAGATTCAGCACTGAGCAATGCAGGAACAGAGGAGACACTACCGGCTGACAGCATTTTCCAAAGGTGCTAAGGGTCTGTAAGAGCATCTTCACCTCTAGGGCACCTCCTCATGCCTGGACGCGGTGCTGCAGGGAACTTCGCCTCTCACGCCCTAGCTGGTGGCCACTTCCTCGGCCCCACGAGGGCCAGTCCCAGCCAGTGTCTTCTCCCGACTCCCTCTCTGCGTATGTCCACACGTAACAACAAACCAGGGCTGGTCCATCTCAGCTGACTCGGGCTGCAGGGCTTTGACGTTCCAGTGTAGACACTCGGGCTCAGGCTTGTCCAGACTGCTCTCCCTTATTCCCATGAGTTCTATGTCCTCCGCAGTTTGAGTCATTCCCACCCATCCTCACTTATTAACGGACCAGCTGGCCGTCTGTGGAGCACTCCTCAAAGATACCCTCACAGCCCTTCTGGTCCCAGGAACTTCCTGGCCTTTAACTTCTTCCTTTTGCTAGCCTGTGGTTTTTTCCCTGTAGGCCACAAGGGACTGGACATGCTGGTTTGCCTGCCTCTCTGCCCCCTCCACTTTCTAGGAGGGATTCTTTCACAGGCTGGGATCTCTGAGCACTGCCTTGGGAGGCAGCACTGGCCACCACGGTCCCTTGCATTCTCCTCTTTCAGCGTGGGGAGAGTTAGGCCTCTCGTCCTTCCATGCAATCTAGCGAAAGCAGGCTCCCGGGCCCAGGGACACAGCCAAGTATTCGCAGGGTTTCCCTAGGCATAGGCCAAGCAGAGATGAACTGATTTATAATCCAGACTATGCGGGGCAAGGAACAGGCCTGCAGCGCAAGTCATTTTGCGTAGCTCTGACAGATGGCCAGTCCCTGCTGTAACAATGTGGGAACCGTTTAATGGAATTCCACCAGGAGAGTCTGGTCACCCCGAGCTAAGCCAAAGCCAGAATGACCTCACAGAGAGAAGGTTTAAAAAAACCTACAGCAAAGTGGCTAAAAACGCTGCTGCTTCTAACCAGTTCTGCAGTTCACGAGCAATTAGGAGCAAGTGTACAAGAGCAATGCCCATCTATCCAGTGCTTGTGAGTGATAGTGGGCCGTTATACAAATGCTCAATGTTTGTACAGTTCTGAAGACACGAAAGCATTATACATGGGCCCAATTTTAGGCTGGAAGAGCCATATGGGTGCTTTATGGCATAAATATGCAATTCTACGGCCAATGGCACGACTGCAACATCGCTCTCTGCAATCCAGCCTGCAAAGCGTTCTGCTACCCCCAGCACTACCTATGCACTCTGGGAAAGAGGTAAAATGGAAGCATCTGCCTGCCAGGCGTGGTGGACAGTCCACGTGGATCCCCAAATCATTTTATTAATAGCACGTCTTAGTCATAGGCCACTGCGCATAACCAGGGACCACTAGATTAAGACAATTTTGCCGTCCTTACTCAGGCAAGGCTCCCGCTGAAGGCAACAGGAGCTGAAGGAGCAGGACTTAGGGCCTTCACCACAACAGCTCCAGTTGCAGGGGCGTGTGTGTTTTGCAAGGGCTGAGTAAGTGGAAGGAAGGTCTTGTGTCAACACAGGGGGTGAACCTGACACTCCAACCTGCCAGGACTAGAGCTCAGTACCCAGCCCGGTGGACTGATTTAAATCACTGACCGATTGAACTCGACTTTTCCACTGGGACTTCAGTTATTTTCTAAACAAAAGCACATTCTAATTGGTTGATCTAACCAGTTACACATGTTGATTTACAACTAAATAGAGCCTTTACACGAGATCTGGACATCGCTCTGCTGCCTAGGAGCCACTGTAACTAGCCACGTTTATTTAAGCAATTATCTAGCTTCACTGAGAATCTGTAAAATGTTACCAAGTGGTGAACGATACACAGCTCCTGACTAGCTAATTAACTCTGGTCATGATTCGTATCAAGCTGCGCTAGGGTGGTAACTGGAATTACAGACACAACAGCAGAGTTATTGGTTAGAGAACTGTTTCAAGAGATAATAAATTGATAGTATATATACAGTATAATAAATAGTCTGTATTAAATTCCGATTTTAAACAGGTTTATTTTTTAAAAAAAGATAATTTCAACTAAAAAATCCAATTTAAATAAAAAATTGGATTTTCATCCACCCTGCTCCCCAGGCAGCTCTGCACTGGCTGCTAGTGGCAAACCACGCGTTGCTCTGACAGCCAGATCGGAGTGGAGAAAGAAGAGCCTTTGCTTCGAGATCTGGACTAGTAATTACGTGACAGATACCGGGAGAACTGAGATGGGACTGAAATCAGTGGTGTGGTAACAGCCTGGCCTACTGGTACATGGGTAGCCAGCACACTCAGAACAGGGCCCAGTGGCCATCCAGGACGCACACCCCTGCGAAAGCACTGGGATCAAGTACTGCCCCGACAGGCCCGAGCTGCCAGACTGGCAGGCCTATCGCTGGTGCCGCTGCAATACGGTGCAGAGCAGAACTCGTCAGGCTGACACTGGCGCCATAGCTTTAGCAGGAAGATTTACCGTTTATTTTTAAGTCTCATCTGTATGGATTGCCTCACCCGGAGTCTCACTGCCCCAGGTCCTGCTGGGGAGCAGGCTAGCCCACAAGGTAGGCACAAGGATGCGGGATCAACGTGTCCGTCAGCCCAACGGGATTTCAGCAGCGCCAAAGGGAGACCGATCTCAGTTTCTTGCGTCAGACCATGGCTAAGCTGTTCATACGCGGGGGTTGGGGGGAGAGTTCAGGTGTCTATTTAGGCCCCGACCAGGCCTGACTTTCAGAGGTGCCCACACCTCCGGAAGTCAATAGAAGCTGCAGATCCTAGGTGTTATTTCAGCTGTTACTAAGCCAAACTACAGTAGCGAGGGCACATGTGGAGTCTCGGCGGACTTGGCAGGGATCTCTGGGGTGGAAGCACAGACGAGCACTGGGTGTAACCAAACACTCCAGGAGCGCTCTCCAAGCAGGCCCCATTCAGCAAGGACGTCACAACACCTAAGCAGGCCAGGACTGGATCAAGACACAGGGACACAGTCAGACCCAGCGCGACTCCATGGACTACGCCCACCTACACTGGGGCCGACAACTTTCAGAGTTCTCCCCTTTCTCCGGAGTTCCAAAGTCACCTCATTTACTCCCGTTTAAATGGAAAGGGGCCATGCCAAACGCTGACCCTCCCAACGACTTCCATTTGCAAGAGCTGCTTTCCTAACAACCCCTTGGCAGAGTCATCCCCGGGGTGGTCTACACTACAGTTAGGTTGGCTTACTACATCGCTCAGGGCTGTGAAAAATGTCACACCCAGTGTGGTGTCATTAAGCCGACCTACACCCGTGTGTAGACCCCACTAGTCGATGGACCAATTCTTCCCTCAACCTAGCTACAACACCTGGATTTCTTACAGTGACGGAAAAGCCCCTCCCGATACTGTGGTGCCTACGCTACAGCGCCACGGTGGTGCAGCTGCCACACTACAGCTGTGCCGTTGTAGTGCTTCTAGTGGGACCCAAAAGTCACCCAGGTCTCTTCTGGCCACGCATCGCCAGTAAGAAAGATTCTGCACTTGGAACATTGAGCTGAGTCCTGGTCTGCCTCGTGCATCGAGACAAGTCATAGCCTCCCAGAGCTGTAAGCATTTCCAAGGACAGGCTCTGGAGAAACAGGAGTGGGGCTAATCGGAGGTGAGAGGATAAGACTGCTGGTCAGGGACAATGGCAGCCTCTCGCTCATCCTGACCATACATCCAGAGTGTCTCCAAATCACATTCCCGGTTCCACCAGTCTGTGTGACCCTGGGCAAGTCACAGCCGCTAAGAGCCTCAGTTTCCCCTTCTGCAAAATGGGGCCAATGAAACTGACTCACCTTTGTAAAACGCTCCGGTACTAAGTGTGGTGACTGCGCCCCAGAAGCACTGCGAGCCGCACAGCACTGAGAGGGAATTGATTCAGTAAGTGCTACTGGGAAGCTAGGAGACGAAAGACGACAGTTTGCTTTTGTGGGATGTCTAACTAGGGACCATTTTCCCCCAGGCAAGGTCTGTTTCTCAGTGAAAAGCCTACTTTTATTTTAAAGAATGACTGTCTTGCCCTCTGAGAGAGCGAGAAGTAAGTAGGTCAGACAGACTTGAGGACCAAAAGCCCTGACAGAATCGCTTGTAAGCAAAGAGAGCCCGGAAGCGAGAGCCCGGCTCTGGAGCAGGCGCCCTCAGCTCTCCATTGGCATGCAGGGGACTGTCACGCCTCACTTCAAAGAGAACACATAAAGACCCAATCCAGTTAGAACAGAAAATCCAATCCCAAGCTGAACTCCCGAGCAGCGACTCTCTTTGCTGGCTCCAATACCCTGCGGCCAGAGCGGCAGAGAGCGCGCGCTGCTGAGCGGCTTCACACATTCACACACTGCCATTACTTGAGGGCCTACAACAAAGTAGGGCCTTGATTTAGCACCAAGTTATGAACACAAGTCAAACGGATCCAGGGAAAGGGGAAGATAGTAAATCAATCCAGCCTGTCTGGCTCTGAAGAGCAATGGTCCAGCTGCAAAGAAATCATGTCTGGAGAGAGGGGGCGATTTGTGTGCAGATCCGATGCACGCCGTGCCCTCTGCCCGGCTGTGTGGTGCGGCTCACATGCCAAGTGTACGTGAACACTTTGTATTTGTTCAGGAAGAGACCAGTCTGGGCAGTTCCTAGCCCAATGCAGAGCTCACTGTTACGCAGAGGGGCCTGGGCTTCTTCAGAGCCCCAAGCAGCAATGCAATACAGCTGAGCACATCTGCAGCATCACAGCTACTCCATACACAGCAGTAACTGCAGCAAGAGCCCAATGGACAACGTTTCCAATAAACTCTCCATGAGCGAGCCGAGAAGCCTAGCAGGTGTGCCGAACTCCCCAGGGGTGTGACAACCACAATAAGCCATGGCACTAACACACTACACTAACGCAGGCGACAGCCCAGCGCCGCAGGAGACGTTCTCTGCAGGTGGGTCTGCCTCAGAGAACACATTCAAATCAGTTCTCCTGCATGACACCGGGCAAATTCACACCTTGCGCTGAAACTGCATTGGCTCCTTCAGCAGCCGCCAAGGCGCTACTGTGAAGGGGAGTCAACTTCGCCGAGCGCCTCTGGCCTTCTCTAGCAGGGCTGCCACGGACCCCACCAAAGAGAGTGGGAGCAGCCCACAGCCGGCAGAGCAGAATCCAAGGCATTCTCAGACAAAGCCACTGAGGTTCATGGTATCTTTCCAAACGTTCCCACCCGCATGCAGCACAAGAAATATGCTCTCTGCAGTGGTTCCTTTAAATGACTCCCCCTTGTGATGCTTCCGTCCTCGGCACGGCCCAATTCTAGGACACCTGCACAACCCCAAGGAAGAAGCTGTAACATCCCCGTCCTAGCTCGCTTTAGCGTCACTCTTTGCCTCCCTCCACGTACAACGCCTGCATTTCAGCAAAGAACGACTTCCACGCAGATACCAAGGAGCTGTTGGCAACTCCTGCAAAGTGCTCTCAAGGTGCCAGGGGCTGTGCACTCATTTATCCGCTGATCACGACGTGCAAGTCACATCTGCTTCCATAACATCCCATCGGGCGGCATTCAAATAACGGCTTGCCAAGGCTCCTGAACAGCCCTTGTCTCTCTTTAAATGAATTTGGTCCTCAAAGCTACTGAATTGGAGATGGATTATTCATAGCTTATTAATAGCAAATGGATTTGTGTGAGATATTCACTCCAGATGCAGCAACTTGGAAGCTAACTCAAGCTGCGGTTTGGAGAATACTCACTACAGGCCCCAGAGCACCAGGAATACCACCTAGCTCCTATCCAGCACTTGCCATCGGCAGATCACAAGCGCTTTACAAAGCGGATCAGTATCCCCCCATCTGCTAGATGAGGAAACAGGCACAAAGAAGGGGCAGCGACTTGCCCAGTCACCCGGAAGAAGAATTAGCCGTAGAACCCAGGTCTCCTGAATCCCAGTCTAGTGCTTTAGCCTCCCGGCCACGCTGCCTGGAGTACGCTGCTTGCTGATGACTCAGCATCCCTCCCTAATCCAGTCCCGCGCTACCCACCCCCAGCTCTGGTGCTGCCCCTCACACCTGCCCTGCCCTTCCAGACCCTGCTCCCACATGCGATTGGGCCAGAGCACCTCCAACCTGACATGCAGTTTTCCTGGCTCTTCCAGTACAAGACATTCCCTGGACAGTCTTGAGCTGGGGTTGAATAGCCAAGCGAGCCCATCGATCAGGTGACAGTAGATGAACAAGCCAACAGAATGCAGCGACAAGAGACAATTCAATGCCAAGACACCTGGCACGCACTCAGGCTGTGCAGAGATATTCTTCCCATACCCAGCCCCCAACCCGCAGCCCATTGATAGTCCCTCCTCCAGTTCTGGAGCCCTGAAGATCATCTGGGGGCACCAGGATACCATACAGACAAATGCCTATAACAGACTAAGAGTCACAGTCCCTGCGCAGGCGAAGCCCGAGCCAGGAAAAGCAGGAGAATAATAAAGGACAGGAATAAGCCGTCTTAATTCTGCAGAGCAAGGGTGTTGGAAAGGACAGTGCTTCTACCAGGGCACACTGGCCTGGCACCAGCTTCTTTCAAGCCATGAAAGATAAAACAACAAATAATCAGCTGCCTTCTCATCTGTTTGGCTAAAACAAGGACTTTGCACTGGGAACCCCAAAGATTTCCAATGGAAGCACAGAGCCCCTGAGCTCACAGAGCAGGAACGGGGGAGGTACATTAAGGATTAATACTGAGCATTTCCTTGCAGGAGCCAGGTTATCACATGATCAGTTAGAACCACAGCAATGCACAATTTACCAGATTGGATCAGACAATCGGTCCACCCCAGCTGTTAGCCTGCCTCTAACTGCAGCCAAGAACTGAAAGCGGGAAACCCCATCATGCACCTGACCATTGGGCAATTCTGTACACGGCCCAGAGGAGAGCTCCCTGGCTGCGACTGGCTTGTCGGATTCCCCCAGATTCCAGGCTAAGATGATGCTGAGATGTTCTCATGCAGCCTGTTCCTTAAAATCCAGCACCAGAAACAAACCCATCACATG